TGCTACAGCTCCTGCCCACCATCAGAGCTGCCCAAATCACTGCTACAGCTCCTGCCCACCATCAGAGCTGCCCAAATCACTGCTACAGCTCCTGCTCACTATGAGAGCTGCCCAAATCACTGCTACAGCTCCTGCCCTAGTGTCAGCACCTCATGTCCACCTGCTCAAGCAGATTTCTGTATTTGAGGCTGTGCAGCAGTTGCGGCTCTGATTTCTTCTTAAAACCATGACTTCTGTGGTTGCTGTTTGATGAGCTCTGTCTCAGTCCCGAGGTGCATTTTTCTTACAGATTTGATTAAATGCRGTTCCTTTTTCCTAAGTGCAAGGTGAACAATAAAAATACAAGTGGTAATATAGGAGCAAGAGGCAGCCTGCAAGCTCAGCTGCTGAAACAGGGGAACGTGGATGGATAAAATGTGGGCTGGAGGATGCTCTCAGTGCTGAGAAAGAGCTTCRAGCTCTCTGGCAAATCTGGGTTGATTTGCCTGAGTTATTGCTGTCAGTGAATTATGGAGTGGGTAGGTGGGGTTTTGTGCTGAGGTTGTATGATGCAGATGGGATATTAGGAAGTAAATTTTCTCTCTGAGGGTGGGGAGGCCCTGGCACAGGTTTCCCAGAGAAGCTGTGGCTGCCCCATCCATGGAAGCATTCAAGACCAGGTTAGACAGGGCTTGGAGCAACCTGGGATAGTGGAAGATCCCATGGCAGGGATTGAAATGAGATGAGCATTAAAAGTCCCTTCCAAGCCAAACCATTCCTGGATTCTGTAGAACTGGCCATCACCCGAAACTGCAGTGCACAGCTTTCTCACAGGTTGGGATGGGAAAGTATCCAAACCTCCTCCTGCCCCTTCCAGCTGTGATGCTGCACCAGTTTCTGGTGTTGCCACAGGGCAGGGGACCTGGCTTTATTTCCATCACCTGTTCTGCCTCCAAARTCCCAGGCAGGGCACAAGTTTAACCCTAGATGTGACCCCAGAACCGCAGGGTGCCCTTTCTTCCCTGGATCAGTGGCTGTGTTGTTTTCCAGGCAAGGTTATGAAGACCCGCACTGGCAGTACCCAGCAGCTGGCTACAGGGATGGCTACCCCTACCAAAGCCACCAGTGGCAGCCAGGGGCCTGGCAGGGTGACAGAGGTACGGGATCCTCATTGGGGTCTGGGGATGGAGGCAGCTTGCAGGAGAAGTGGTGCTTTTCCAGGGTGGGTTCTTTTCCTGAGGCTTGCACATATCCAGGGCATTCTGCTGCCCACCCTCCTGGGTGGTGGGGCTCCCTGTTTGCATTTAGGAAATGTCAGCAGGACCTAAGTGCACTCAAGGGATGTCTAATCTTCACTTCCATGGCTGAAAAGCTGTGTCATTCCTGATTCCAGGCTGAGTGTGATGGTGCTGTGTGATCACGATGGCCAGGACCTCTTCTTTGCTGTTGCTGGGCTGAACAGAAGGGGAGGGAGGAAACAGGAAAGGACATCAATGCTGTAATGTGTGCAGGGCATTTTCATGTCCCCAGTGGCTGGGATGATTGGGGAGCAAGCAGGGTGGGCATGGCAGATTGCCTGATTTACAGCTTTTTTTTTTGTGGCTTCATTGCTACTCTGGAGGGTAATCCTGACCCTTGATCCTCTCTAGACCCAAGGCAGGGAGAGCCTTATGGCAAGAGTTACCGGGATCAGCATTACTACAGAGGCTACCACCCCAACCTGGCCACGGGCCCCCCAGGGCACAGCAGGTAAGGCTGGGCAGGCTGGGCAACCTCSTGGAACCGTCTGCTGCAAAATCAGRGSGTTTGTGGWGGGTTCCAAAGTCTCAGACCTTCAGGGTGTCTCCCTTTGCTCCCACCTGCAGGACACAGACCTACAGCTCCTACGAGGACAGCCACACCTCGCCTGCCAGGAGGGAAGGGACAGGGGGAGAAGCCCTTGGCAGTGATTCAGGGGAGGCTGGTGGCCAGCACCAAGAGGTAACCCCAAGACAGGCAGGAGTGGAGGACAAGAATCAGAGCTTTGGGGACAATCCGTGTGTCCCTCTGCAGATGAGAAAGGGCCCTTTGCTGTGTGCCATCGGTGCCTGACAGTCCCTGGGGGTTATTTCAGTGGGGTTGTTGGTGTTTATGGTCTGTCTGTCTGCTGGGCTGTCACTGGCCCAGGAGTAGCACAGAAATCCAGGCTTAGGGGGATGYTCCTCACAAAGGAGCTGGGGAAGGGTCTGGAGCATGGRTCTGATGAGGAGAAGGGCTCARCCTGSASAAAAGGAGGCTCAGGGGAGACCTTTTCACTCTACAACTCCCTGAAAGGAGGCTGYAGCCAGGTGGGGRTCAGGCTCCTCTCCCAGCTCACAASTGACAAACCAAGAGGAAACAGCTTTAAGTTGTGCCAGGAAAGGTTTAGATTGGACAYAAGGAAAAAWTTCTTCAACAAATGGGTTGTCAAGCCCTGGTACAGACTGCCCATGGAGGTGGTAGRGGCACCATCCCTGGGGGGATTTAACACATGGAGATGTGGCACCTGGGGACATGGTTTARTGGTGAACMTGGYAGTGCTGGGTTAATAGCTGGACTCAATCTTAGAGGGCTTTTCCAGCCTTAATGATTCCATGGTTCCATGATTCTATCCCTCAGGGAGCTGACAGCTGTGTATCAATGTCAGCTCTGCCCACCACGTCGTGCTCCATCACATTTGTGTCCTGATTGCTGTGTTTTGTCAAGAGAAAGTTAAAAGATCAGATCACAGCTGCCCTGGTGGTTTTGCTCCTGGGGGATGCTTTTTTGGGTTCCCAAGCCCCATCTCCTTGGCTGTGTTGAGGAGCTTATGTTAGGGCAAGGAAAGCTGTTGGACTACCCCTGTGGCTGATGTAAATTATTTCTCAAAGCTGGTGGGTGAGCCCAAGCTGCTGTAAGGTGAGAGCTGCTCGGGTGGAATTGTCTGTGCTGTTCCTGCTGGGCCCTTYCCCAGGGCAGCAGAGCAGATGGGATATCAGAGCAGGATTGCCACAGTGTCCCTGGATTTTGAGCCAGGTTTGTGCTCTCCTCTGCAGCCCTTGGGCCAGCCCAGCCTGCTCCTGCAGTACCACGAGTCAGGGCTCAGCTCCAGCAGCCATGAGCTCAGCCAGTACATCCGTGATGGTGCTGACTCCTATGACMCTGTGCTTCCAGGGTCCTGGAGCGTGGAACAAACAGGTAATGGGGGGCTCTGATAAAGGGGGGAGCAAGGGAATGAATGGCTGGTGGGAGGATACGGGCTGTCTCTCAGCTTGGCCCTCTCCTTGTGCAGGCACAAGGCATGGCTGGGGGATTGTGGGGTGGGTGAATGGTCCATGAGCTCTGTGTGAGTAGGGGCAGGAGCTGCTGGGCACATCTGCTCCTTTTGGGGACAACTCTTGCATAGGGGCATCAGTGGAGAGCTATTTAATTTGGGGGACAAGGGTGGGAGCTGGTGACATCCTCCATGGTGGAAGGGGTGTGGGATCMGTGTGAGGGGCTCACCGTGGCTGTGTCATTGCAGGAGGGCCTGTGACATCCACCCCGACCCCAGCAGTGCCCTTCAAGTTTCCACAGCCACACACAGCACTGTGCTTTGGGGCCGGGGGCCACCTGGTGCTGGYGTGTGCCCAGAGCCCTGCCGAGGGACAGCTGCCCCGTGTGGAGCTGCACAGCCTGGAGGTAGGACAGAGCTGGCCCTGCAGACCCCCCTCACCCCTCCCTGGAGCAGCTCCTCTTGCCCTGAGGGATGCAAACACGGTTTGTCACCCAAGCAGCCTCCTCAGCAGCCTTCCCATTCCTTGTGCCCATATTCTCCCTATCCCACGTGAATTTTTGAGTCTCCATCGTGCCAGCCTGTGMCTGGGTGCTGCTTTCAGCTCCATAACCCCTGTGACCAGCTCACAGTGATCCCTTCCCATGGGGACTGGTGTGCTCTGTACCTCCACAAAGACAGCCCCACTCACCTTGCTGAGGTGCTCCAACACAGAGGCTGTATCCATCCCTTGATCCCACCACAGCATTCCAGTCTCCTGTTTCACCTCCTGAAGGAGGCAGGTGCCRTCTCAGCAGACATTTCTGTCCTGGACCTTAGCACTGGGTCTGTGTGATAGYTCAGGGTCACCATAACACAGCACAGGAGTCATGCTGCTGTTGAACCCTCGGGCCAGGCACGGGTTTCCAAACAGCCCAGCTGGGGTTGGTGTGCTTGCTGGAGCCCAGCTGCTGAATTTAATTCTGTTTTTAGGCAATCCTTCATGGCACAGAAGAGCTGGAGGAGCTGCAAGCCTTCCCAGGGCCCCTGGCCAGGTATGGCAGCACAGGCAGGCACAGGAGCTGCTCCTTCCTCGCTGTCTCATTTTAGAGGAGATGTGAGCTCCAGGCAGACTCCAAGGGTCCCTGTGGTTTGGAGATAACTGCAAAGGCCATGTCTAAGTTCAGGCTGGGAGCCCAGCCCCTTTGATGCAATGTGGGTTGTTTTGGATTGKGGGAGATGTGTTTTTTAATATTCATAGGGTGTGGGTTTAGTGTGGTTTGTACGTCTGACCTTATTTTGTATTCACTTTGTTTCAGAAAAAAATTTTGGGATTTCTTTGGATATCTAAAGCCCTGGGTCAACCTGTGATTTAGCTTTTCCTAAGATTTTTGTCCCCTGAGATGGTTGAGCTGCAGCAGGGTCAGACCCATGTGTACCTTCCTCCAGTGTTAGCGTGGGGAGGAATCGGGGTGTGTTGCATTAGGCTGTCTCTATTCCATCCTGGTTACACCAGGGTGTCTTCTGGCCACTCACAACCACAAAAAAGAGCAAAAGAGCTGTGTGCACACAGCAGCTGGGTGGAAGGTCTGGGTGGAAGAGCTGGAGCTCACCTKTTGAGGTGAGACCCACCTGGAGTGCTGCAAACAGCTCTGGTGCCACGAGCACAGGGAGACATGGAAATGTGGGAGCAAGTGCAGAGGGGTGAAGGGACTGGAGCAAATCCCCTATGGGGACAGGCTGAGGAATCCATGGCTGTTCAGCATGAGCAGAGAAGGCTGATGGGGACATCACAGAACCTTCCAGTATCCAAAGGGGCTGCAAGGAAACCAGAGAGGGTCTCACTGTCAGGACTGCAGTGACAAGRGGAATGAGTACAAAGTGAAAGATGGGAAGTTTAGGTTAGATATATGGAAAAAGTTCTTCCCTGTCAGGGTAGGAAGGCCTCAGGCTGCCCAGAGAAGCTGGGGATGCTCCATCTCTGGAAGTGCTCAAGGCTAAACTGAACAGGGTTTGGCCTAGTGGGAGGTGTCCCCATGGCAGGGGGGTTGGACTGGATGAGCTTTAAGCTCCCCCCAGACTATTCCATGATTCTGGGTTACCACTTGTGCCAGASACTGCATTGGGAATCTCCATATAATGTGTTGGAATGGTTGAGTCAGGATCAGCATCTCCATCTGCAGTTTCTCTTCCCCGCTTCATCCACCCTTTCTTTTTTTCTATTTTATTGTATGACAGCAGTTATGCCTGGCTTGCATGAGGCTTTAAAAGGCTTTCTGTTTCAGTCCCAAAAGGTTTCTGTGGTCACAAGAGTGACCCTCGACTCTGCCTCCACAACAGATTGTGCCTGCTTCTCCAGCCTTAGACATCCATGGATGTAATGGCAGCGGAGCAAATCCAAACTTTCTTTGCAGATGGATGGAAGAGAATATTATCAGGAAGGCAGAGAATGGGTTTGGAATGTACTTTGCAYCCCTGAAACACAGAAATCTGCTAAGAGTCACAATAAATTTGAGTGTGGTTGAACTTAGAAGTAGTCATTGCCACTGGGGATCCTTTTCCTCCAGCTCTTGCTYGGAATATTTGACATCCCCAGCAGTGAACCTGGGCACACGCTGAGCCTGAATGATGCCCTAGATTGCTGTGCCCTGGGTTTCTYTGATGCCTCTCTCTGCTGCTCTAGGGAAGATCTGCACAAGGTAGATGTGATGACGTTTTGCCAGCAGAAGATTGCCACAGGCTGTGATCTCTCAACACAGAGGGGCAGAGATTCCTCTCTCCTCTGGAAACTCCTGGTCCTCCTCTGCCGGCAGAATGGGGTAGGTGTCCCACGGACAGGGATGACCCTTTTGATCTTGGAAAYGAGACAACACTGTGTCCCTTAGGTKCCTCTTGATCCAGTTGATGTTTTTTGGGGGAAGAGAATCCCATTCCCACTGCACTATCCATCACTTTGATGCTGCCTGGATACATGGAGCAAATCCTTCTCCATGATTACTTTCCATCCTTGGGATCTACCAGCATCCCAGTGAGGGGGATCAGTGCCACCTTCATCAAGGAACCAGCACTAATGCTTGCAAGGGTTTTAAATTTCCCTTAATCCACYCAATCCAGTCTGTGGCTGCTTGTTGGAAGGAGGTGGACAAGGTGTCACTAATTGTGCTGAGTTCTTTTCCTTTCAAACCCTCATGCTGGTGGCCAAGGCTGGTCTTGTTGGGACGATGAGGATACAGGCGTAGGAAGGGTGGAACTGCTGTCAGCCTTTGCTCGTGGGGCAGCCTGCACAGGCCTCGTTCCTTCCCTTTCTCAGTCCATGGTGGGCTCAGACACAGCAGAGCTGCTGATGCAGGACTGCAGGTGCCAGGACAAGTACAAGAGGCAGGACCCTGCTCCCAGCCTGATGGGTCTGACGGATGACGAGTGGGCATCACGCCAGCCGGGCACGCTGGACCTCATCACAGGGGAGATCCCTCCCGTGGTGGAGACGCAGGCACAGATCGTGGAGAAGTTCACCAAGCTCCTCTACTACGGCAGGAAGAAGGTGAGTGGTGAGTGGGACCCAGAACATGCWGCTGGAGGGTTTTTCTTGGGTCTGTTGGCCTCTTCAGGCAGGTTTTAAAGGGAAAGGTGGTCGAGAAGTGATTTGTGGTTGTGGGATCAACCCTCCAAGTTGTGTTTGTCTAACAGGGTCATGGCAGTGATTTCTCCTCACTAGGAACTGGGATGGGGGACCAGCAAAGATGAGCTGCAGAGGCTTTTACCASAACTTCAACCAGGTTCAGTTTCAWAGAGYTCTAGAATRGTTTGTGTTGGAAGGATCCTTAAAGGTCATCATGTTCCAAACCCRTATGCAGCTATGTGATCTCAAGGAATGCCTGAGGCACAAGGAGAAGAGATGAGGGCTGGATGCAGAGAAGCTTGGGTGCCTAGAATGTGATCCCACAGCATTGAGAGCTAACAGGCAGCACAGTCCTGGAAATCCAGGAGACACGACATTGCTTTGAAGGTCCAAAACCTTGTAAATGTTCATGGTAGAAACACAAAGGGACCTTTGTGAACATGGAAGAGGTTTTGGAGAATGTTGCTTATAGGCAAAGCAGTTATTGGGGCTCTTCTCCCAGCTGGGRGAGCAGAAAGTTCCCTGCCAGCAGAGGAGGACACAGAAGAAGAGTTGATGCAAACCCTATTTCTTCTCCCCCTCAACTGCAGGATGCTCTGGTCTGGGCCATGAGAAACCAGCTGTGGGGCCATGCCCTGTTCCTCTCTAGCAAGATGGACCCTCGGACGTACAGCTGGGTCCTCACTGGGTAAGCTGGAGAAGATAAAGCAGGGATGATGGCTGGCTTTGCCCAGCCTGTTATCCCTTTAGTGCCCCCTGAACTGAAAAAGAGCATCGATTCCGGCTGAAGCCTTTCCAGAGTGGGTAAAAGGGACAGAGGACATTCATCCAGATAGGATGATGGACAGGAGAAACCAAATGGGGGCTGGAAAGCAGGAGGAAAGCCATTCCCTGGAGATGGAAGGTTAATTTATTCTGAGCCTTCAGCTTTGCCCATGCTGCCCTAGCAAAAACAGCCATGGGGCAGGGGGAGCTGAGCCATCCTCACTGTGATCCAGCCTGGTCCCAGCTGTTCATCCCACTCGTATGAGCATTTTCTGGTGGAATTTAATGTATTTAGTCGGGATTGGGTTGATCCCTTCAGGGAGAGTTAGGCAGGAATTTTCTTTCTTGTGGAACCCAAATCCTTTTAAGGAGGTTTTATGCAGTGTTGTCCTGGAGACCTGCCTGCTCTGAAGGTAAGGCAGACTGTCATCCCCAGGGGCTGATGATCCTCCCTGCCTCCTGTTTACAAGAGCATGAAGAGACAGGACATGGAGAAATGGCTTAAGATGAAGGAGGGTGGGTTTAGATTCGATGTCAGAAATTCTTCCCTGTGAGGGTGCTGAGGCCCCTGGCACAGGGTGCCCAGAGCTGTGGCTGCCCCATCCCTGGAAGTGTCCAAGGCCAGGTTGGACAGGGCTTGGAATAACCTGGGATAGCAGAATGTGCCTCCTCCTCTGGACTGGAAGGAGCCTTCCAACTCAATCTGTTCTTGGCTTCTCTGAGAAACYCCTCAGGACATCAGTTTCCTGGGGCATTTGCAATGTCCCCTAAGGGGTGAATGAGGGTTTGGGGTCCTGGCCTGCAGCCCTTGTTCTGCTGTCTCCTCCCAGGTTCACCAGCACGCTGGCCACCAATGACCCTCTGCAGACCCTCTTCCAGCTCATGTCGGGAAGGATCCCTCAGGCAGCACTGGTCCGTGAGCAGGAGGCTGGCCCTGGCACGTGTTCCCCTGTATGGTCACCTGCCTGTGACAGCCACCTCGTGGTGACCATCTCTGCTCACCTCTGCTCTCCTCATCTCCCTCCAGTGCTGTGGGGACGCCACATGGGGGGACTGGAGGCCCCACCTGGCTGTGATGCTGTCCAACAAGGTTGGAGATGCAGAGCTGAACCACCGTGCCATTGTCACCATGGGAGACACTTTGGGTGAGCTGAGGACAGTGGGAGCAGCTGTGGGCTCTGCAGTGTCACCATGGATGTCCCTGCACCCCTGGGGCTGCCATGCCCGTGTGGTGGCACGGTGGATGCCCCTGCACCCCCCCTGGGGCTGCCATGCCCATGTGGTGGCACTGTGGATGTCCCTGCACCCCTGGGGCTGCCATGCCCATGTGGTGGCACTGTGGATGTCCCTGCACCCCTGGTGGTGGCACTGTGGATGTCCCTGCACCCCTGGGGCTGCCATGCCCATGTGGTGGCACTGTGGATGTCCCTGCACCCCTGGGGCTGCCATGCCCATGTGGTGACAGGGATGAGGTGCCAGTGGATCCCCAGATGAGCTGGGCTCAGGCACATCCAGCAGCTGCTCTCGTGGAGATGCCTAGAACAGCTGGGCCCAGGGAACTGCAGGGACTGAGCTTTGCTCCCAGTGGAGGGATTTTATGCCAATAAAGGCACCCTGCAAGAGTTGGACCTTGCTCAGGCTTCCCTAGTTCTACCACTGAACTGAAACCTCCTGAAAACAAAAACTGGGGAAAACAGACAAAAAACAGGGACAAGGGAGGGATCAGGGTCTGCTTGGACAGGAAAGTGAGGCAACTGGGTTTGGGTTTTTATGTGAGCTTGAGGGCCTCCAAAGCAAACGTGGTGATGTCTCAGAATGAAGTGTTTGTCTTTTTCTTCCCATCCAGCCAGCAAGGGAGCAGTGGAAGCAGCTCATTTCTGCTACCTGATGGCAGATATTCCTTTTGGATACTTTGGAGCAAAGGCAGACCGCATGGTCCTGCTGGGCAGCAGCCACCGGTGAGTGAGCATGGGAGATTGGGGCTCTTGCCCGAGTCACCCGTCCCTGGGATCTCACTTCCATGCAAAAGCAATCCCTGTTTGGGGTTTTTCCTGCTGTAATGTGTGCTCCGTGTGGGGCTGTTTGGGGAGGGAGCTCTCTCCAGCTCGCTGACCCCACCCCTCTCATCTGCAGCCAGGCGTTTTCCCAGTTTGCCAGGACAGAGGCCATCCAGAGGATGGAAATCTATGAGTACTGCCAGCAGCTCCGGCAGCCCGAATCCTTCCTCCTCCCCTTCCAGGTAGCAGAGATGCTCAACTACATCTCGTGCAGCAGCTCAGACTTGCCCCAAAAGAAGCCCCATCTGCCTGAAGCCTGGAATTCAGGCCATTCCTGAGGCCTCTCCCCTTTCTGGGTTTTGGGAATGCTAAGGAGGCTGCCTTGGCCAAGGGACTCATGCAGGGCAGATTTTGGGGTGTACAGTGTGTCTGATCAGTACTTGCTCAGGTTTCATTGCCTTCCTGCTCTCTCAGTGAGCTATTCCTACTGCAAAGCAGCACCCAGCTGTTGCTGCCTTGGGCACTGAATGGATTTTTATGGATCCATCCCTGAAGTGTCCAAGGCTAGGCTGGATGGGGCTTGGAACACTCTGGTCCAGTGGAAGGTGTCCCTGGCCATGGCAGGGCGGGTGGAACTAGAAAAGCTTTAAAGTYCCTTCCAACCAAACCCATTCTGGGATTCCATGAAGCTGCTGGGATTCTGTTCCTTGCTGCCTGGTGCAAGGAGAGGGGCTGGATGCCTCCATGGGGATGGGTGGAGGTGGCCCCTGGGTGATGAGACACATGATCCAGGGTGCTCCAGGACACGCTGGGGCCATGTGCCATGGCAGAGAGCACCCACAGACACATCCATCTCCCTGCTCCCACCTGTGGCTGCTCTGCTTGTCTCTCCCAAGGCGTACAAGCTGCTCTACGCCTCCCGCCTGGCTGACCACGGGCTGCCAGCCCAGGCACTGCAGTACTGTGAGCACATCGCGGCCACACTCCTGCACCGGGACCCTGCTGCACACCCTGGGCTGGCCCAGCAAGTGGTGAGGGTGAGTATGGACACCTGCACCCCGAGAA